TCTGTAGAATCATCTTTCCAGTTGTCAAAGTGCTTCTGAACATGCTGCAGATACCCTTCAACATTCCATACATGGAAATGAGGGCACACTTGTAACGCCCCGATTGTTAGATTGTGGATCAGGGCCTCCCTCCAAGCTATAACAAACTGCTCCATCTACTGTCTGCAATACTCACTTACTGCTCAGCAGTAGTTTGTCCCGTGTTGATCTAAAAGCCAAGCAGGTGACCATTCTTTTGGTTATATAAGGTGGAAACCCCATAACTGTCCTACCCTCATTCAAAATATACAGCAGCAGCAGCAGTGCATGGGACAAAAGGCTGAATACTGCATGCCATCTCACTGTTGACAGGCGCTGGCATTAACGTGGATGTGTGCACTAAAGCCCAGGCACTTCCATTCCGCTCTCAGAGATTTAACTTCCAGAGACCCCGAAGGACAACAATACTAGTCACAAGGCACACTAACAACATTTTAACTCTGTTTTGTCAGTGTCTATATAATCAACAGAATCATTCCCCCCCCTAGTTTGTACTAGCTCATAGTGGTATGTAGCGGCCCTTCACACAGAAAACTAGCATGTCAGGATGAAGACTGTAGTGCCTCCTTCTGTCTGCATGGAATGTTTTATCTGTGGAGCTTATTCAAACATTGCAGCCCACCTCCAGCAGCAGGAGAGTCTGGGGAGAGGGCTTCCATTCCATCCCTTGCAGTGCACCTGGGAAATTGTGGGGTGTTGCAGAGGGTTGCCAACTCTGGGTTGTGAAATACCTGGTGATATTGGGGGTGGAGTCTGTGAAGGGTAGGGTTTGGGGAGGAGAGGGAACTCAGCAGGATACAGTGTTGTAAAGAAAGCTTCCAGGGCTAGAGTGGGTGGTATTTAGTACAATCGATGTGTTCTTTAGTCTTCTCATTGCTGTTGTTCAGTCGCACAGTCGAGTCCAACTCTTTGCGACTCCATGGACCAGATCACACCAGGCCTTCCGGTCTTCCGCCGTCCTCTGAAGTTTGCTCAATTTCATGTTCGTTGCATCTATGACACTGTCATTGGCTGATCAATATATTGGTTGAAGATGAGCCTTGATGGCGTACACATTTTGTTTGATGTTTTATGGCAGTGTTTCCATTCACCAACTGAGAGCCAGTTTGGTGTAGTGGTTAAGTGCGCGGACTCTAATCTGGGAGAACCGGGTTTGAGTCCCCACTCCTCCACTTGCACCTGCTGATGTGACCTTGGGTCAGTCACAAGCTCTGGCACAGCTGTCCTTGAAAAAGAGCAGTTTCTGTCAGAGCTCTCTCAGCCCCAGCCACCTCACAGGGTGTCTGTTGTGGGGAGGGGAAGGGAAAGGAGTTTGTAATCCGCTCTGAGACTCCAAGTGAAGGGCGGGGTATAAATCCAATCTCTTCTTCTTCTTCTTTGTTCTGAGAACTGAGAGCAAAGACAGAGTCACCGTTCTTTCTCTTTAGCTTCTAACCATGTAACCAGTAAGATGTCGTTGGTTAGCTAAGAGCTGTATTTTCTTGTTTTTCTCCAAAGTAACTCCCTCCCTTATTTTTCCTAGTTAAAGATTACGTTTGTTTTAAAGCTCAAACACATGGTGTCGGCTCTTTGCTTATTTACTCTGCAAAATTCATACAACTTCCAGCCAGATAAAATCAGGACTTACCAGGAAGATGGACCAGAGGAATCAGCCTATAGGGGCCACCTTTAGACACATGGACACATGGAGCTACCTTAGGTTGAATAGGACTCTTGGTCCATCAAGGTCTGTATTATCTTGTCAGACTGGCAGCAGTTATCCAGGGTCTCAGGTAGAAGTCTTTTGTACCACCTACTACAGAGCCACATGCTCTTCCTCAATGACTCTGGGTAGTTGGGGGAACGTGGGTACAGACAGGTGGCAGGTGAGGTGTGGGGTTGGGGGACAGTGGCAGTGGGCCCCACCAGAAGTCCTGGGGCCCGGGCAACTGCCCCATCTCAGGATACACTGACCCAATCCTTTTTTTAACTGGAGATGCTGGGGATTGAACCTGGGAACTTCTGCATGCCAAACAGATGCTCTACCAATGAACCAAATTCCCTCTCCAACCCTTCACATTTTTAATTGAGATTACACGTGCACACACAACTGCTCTGATGCCTTTCTGTCTTGTGGGAAGGGGGTGGCATTGCCCTAATACCTTTTTATGGCAGTAGCCCCTTCCTAATTGTCCCACTGTGACCATGGGGGATCCAGGACCTTTATAGCTCCTGTGGCTCATGCCACTTACAGCCAGCCAGCCATACCCCGTCCAAGTGGTAGCTAGCTCTTTTCTTCTGGCAGCTACACATCACCATGATGTGGAAGCATTGGAGCCCCCAAAGTGCAGAGCCCAAGATGCTTGACCAGTCACTCTCCCCTAGCAATGGCTCTGCATCCAGAACTCTTGGAACTGGGTGTCACTGAAATGCTTATTGCACCCAGCTCTATATTCCATCAAATAAGCCCCCAGAAACTGCTGTCTCTGTCCTGGATTGGTGCCTGGAAGCAGGGGTCAACTGGATTAAGGAGAACAAGCTGGAATTGAATGCAGACAAGATGAGAGTTATTTTCATTGGAAAAGCTCATAACCTAGAGAGTATTTAATTGCATATTTGTGTTATGTAATCCTTAGCTGATCAAGGAAAGAAATTCTCTTGGACACTTCCTTGTTTTTGAAAAGCAGGTTTTGGCTGTGGTTTATTGCAGGCTGCCCTGAGTCACTGGACAACGAGAAAGGTGGGGTAGAAATTACGGAAAAAGAATGCTTTTTTGCACTGTTTCGTCAGTGTACACAATGTGAGGTAGGAGGAAGAGGAGGAAGATACAAAGAAACGGAACAATTATAGCAAATGTCATGGTGGTCTGTCCTAACATTTGCTTTAGAAATGTTCCTAAGTAAACCGCAATTAAGAAGCAGTGCAATGCACATATAATAGCAAAGTAACAGAGGAAAAGTTTACAAAGGGAGCAGGATCGTTTCAGTGGGGAGCCACGCTGGTCTCCAGTAGAACAGCCCAGTAGCACCTTAGAAATCAACACGCTTTTTGGGGTCTGAGCTTTCAAGAGTCAAATTCTAATGAAGGGAGCATTGACTCTCAAAAGCTTACACCCCCAAAATTTTTGTTGGTCTCTATTGGACTCAAAAGGGAAGGACTGCACAATGGTTACACAAAGGGGACAGATGTACATTGAACTGAGGGAACTGAGAGCCATAGCGCTGAGGCTCTGTTGGAGAGGCCAGCATTTTGTACCAAGTCCAAAAATCAAGGGTGAGATCTAGGCGAAAATATCCACTCAGCAGAACAGAACATTTCTGCCTCTCCACCACCACTAAAGCCCACTGATCAGGATTGTCAGCCCAGCACTGGAACCTGGAGGGAGCTTTAGGGGTGGGGACATGCAAATAACCATCATACTAACACCAGGAGATCATTTCTGGCATTAGCCTGGAAGTGACATCTTCACGTCAGTGCAACACTCTACAGTTCCCCTGAAATACTATGGTTTTACCATAGAGTTTTGGGGAAATCCTGACCTAGAGCATCACACTGAGGTGATGATGTCACTTCTAGGTTCTCACGGGAAGTGACATTGTGGTGTCTGCACAATGCCTACTTACCCCCTTTTCTACCCTGTCACCCTACCAGATGGCAGCAAACAATTGAAGCTGCTGGACCGGAGGTTCCTTGCTAGAGTGGGCCACCTGGCAGCCCTACACTGATCTCCCCGAAGTCCTGCACCTGGGGGACAGCAGACCCTCCAAAACAGCAATAGAGGCAAATTGGGGGTCTGCAATAGGGATAGAGAATTGGTTGAAAACCCCCCACTCCTTCTGTCAGAAAATTTAGTCTGGATTAAACTGAAAAATTTGGGAACATGATCAAGTCATTTAGAAGTCTCAAATCAAGGAGAAATTCTCACGTGGAGAGTCTCAGAAGCATTTCTGTATAAAACTAGGGAGGATTTCCTGTTTCGTTTGACCTGAAAATTCAGTGTTTCGTTTTCTTTTTCATGCAGATCAAACCTGCAAGTTGATAATTTTATGCTGATACTTGTTTCCTTACATTAATTTTTCCCCATGAAGTGTTTGCATTCTTAAATGTTATTTTTGTATCGGTTTGGTATTTTAAAAATATTTTTAAATGGCATAAAAGAAGAAAATGAATCTGAAAATGGCAACAGAAATGAACAGAATAGAAAGCTTCAGAAGGAAAGGAAAGGAAAGGAAAGGAAAGGAAAGAAAAGGAAAGGAAAGGAAAGGAAAGGAAAGGAAAGGAAAGGAAAGGAAAGGAAAGGAAAGGAAGGAAGGAAGGAAGGAAGGAAGAAAGAAAGAAAGAAAGAAAGAAAGAAAGAAAGAAAGAAAGAAAGAAAGAAAGAAAGAAAGAAAGAAAGGAAGAAAGGAAGGAAGAAAGGAAGGAAGGAAGGAAGGAAGGAAGGAAGGAAGGAAGGAAGGAAGGAAGGAAGGAAGGAAGGAAGGTCTATTTGTACATTCCTACTCCAAACCTCGTGTGTGCCTGCACACAAAAGCTTATACCTTGAATAAAACTTTGTTGATTTTAAAGGTGCCCCTGGACTCAGACTTTGTTCTACTACTCCAAATCTATCATTCATTCAAACCACCCAGGCTAAAAGTAAGCTACAGCCCAGCCCATTCCCGCGTAGGACAAGCTGGCAAGTGAACACTTCAGAGGGGAGAGGAAACATGCCCCAGTTGGCCTGCCATGGCAGATGGCCAAGGAGGTTGGGCAGCCCTTTCAAAACCGCTCCTCCCAATCAGCGTCATTCTTCCCCTACCCTGGCACCTCCCCTGAAGCTGGACCTCTGCCAGGGCCATGCAACAAGCAAACATTTCCTCTGCCGCAGAATGGCTGGTGCCTACAACTGGGTGGAGACTTCTCTGGGAAACTGACTCGAAGGTGGGGCGCCCTCCAGGTAAAGAGCAGAGCTCTTCGCACCTGGGGCAGGTTTCAGTTTCCTCTCCTGCATTCCTCTCCTTCCCGTTCCTTGCCCCCCCTCCCTTCCCACCATGTCTGGCCACACCACCAACTTAAGGCTCAAGCTGCCCCTGTTCTGTGTTTTCCTTCAGTTCCTGACAATCCTCCTCTTTGCTACTTTTGTCTGTTATGACAACCAAACAAGTGCCAAGTTATGGCACGAGGAGCAAAAAGTCCGCAACAAAAGCCACCCGGACCACGAATTTTACTTGCGCTACCCAAGTAAGTACCTTACTCCCGCTTTAACTGAACCCGTTCTGACAGGACAACTTCTCTGTGGGGTAGTTTTAATTCTGTGCCAGGTGATGCATCTCCAAGTATGGATTATTTTGTAAGGGGAGTTTGAAGCTGCAGAGGCTGAGCTACAAGACAGAAAGTCTCCAGTTTAGCCTCAAAGGGGTTAGGTTTATTGGTCATTTCTCCCATGTCAAAAGGGATGTCACAGAAACTGAAAGATTCTGCCTAAAAGGGCGGTCAACAGTGATTAAGGGGCTGGAACAGTCCTGTGCCCGTCAGGAAAGGCTAAAATATCTTAGTGGGTTAAGTTAATTTAAAATAAGATGATGGGGGGCATGGTAGAAGGGGGGAAAGCAGAGAGTGAGAGAACTGCTTCCTTCCTTCTCCCATAATACTTGGAGTAAGAAATCAGTACCTTACACTTTCATCAGAAAGGAACATAGTTCATTGGTACTGACTTTGCATTTGACTACAGTGTTGTACTGTTTCCAACAGAGCAATATTTGTGAATTCTTATGGGTGGGATTTTTATAGGGTTTGGGAGCCTCTGAGATGCAGCCCATTTCCAGAGCTTAATATTTTTGGTTACACGAGATGGGATGATGGCACGGAACTTCCAGGACTGCAGCAGGCTATCTCTGCATATAAGTTGCAAGGAAGATACCAGCAGCTTAGCGATTTGCGCCAACTTGGGGCTTTCTGGAAGCATCCGGTTGGCCACTGAGGGGAGGTGGGGGGATGCTAGCCTAAACAGCCTCGTCGAGCCAGCCTCTTCTTTCGTTGTTACAATAAATGTGGGTCCCAGGTCTGAAAAGATTATCCTTCAGGGATCTTTCTGAAATTCTCCCACAAAATTCCCTCCAGATTTCGGTGGGTTGAATTTCCTGGGCTTTTTTTCCCTTTTCCAAAATTAGAATTGATGCATTAGGAATCCCCCTCAGGTGTTCCAGTCTTTGTTTCCAAATTTCATACAGAACGCTGAGTGTGTGCTTTGGTTCCCACTGTTCATTTGCATTCCCCCCCCCCCACTATACAATATGTATATGTGCATTCATTTTAAAAAGCAATTTTGATTAGATTGAGTGTGGGGTTGTATTGTGATTCTTTGTGTGTGTGTGTGTGTGTGTGAGAGAGAGAGAGAGAGAGAGAGAGGGTTGGGCGGGTGATTGTGTGAGAGAGAGAGAGTGAGGGAGAGAGAGGGAGAGAGAGAGAGAGAGAGAGATGGTGTTTTGCCAATGCACAGGTGCCCATGGCCACAATAATGTATGTTTTAACAGTGTTAAATGTTTTAAGTTTTAAATGTTTTGACTGTATATGAACCTTGACACACTGTGCCAGACAATGTGAGCCGCCCTGAGCCCGCTTGCGGGGAGGGCGGGTTATAAATACAGCAAACAAACAAATAAATAAATATAACAGAACACACAAAGAGTCTTCATACAGCCATGTCCAGGACCGCATCAAGATTGCAGTGTTTTTATCAGGGTGCACACATGCATCAGTAACAAGGGAGGAAGATGCAAGGGAGCTGAATACTGTGTCAAATAGGGCATGCTACGATTCCAGAATTAGTTTTAGGGGTTCTCCTAGTTAAGACGGAATTTCAAAAGGAGTGAGATGCAACACAGAGTGAATCTTGAGAACACCAGCAGGACAGGACAGGGGAAAGGGTATCCACTCATCCATATCAGCCTTATGTAAGCCCTACTGTTCCATAAGTGCATAAGAAGAGCTGTGACTCTGATTGAACACCCTCCAAATATATATATATAACACATGCAAACACTCACCAGCAGAACAGGGTAACATGTTATCTCATTCACTGGCATTTCTGACAACAACACCCCCCCCCCGAACTTTCTCAACTGAACCCCTGAGCTCCAAAAGGCCACCTTAAACAGAAAGGGGTCTGAAAATGCTTCTGGTGGTGGGAAGCCACAGAGTACAGCTTTGGGCCCTAGGTGTGTGATTCTAATTCATGGGTGGTAGGACGCCCTGAAAGAATACCTTTTTATGGATCTCGTAGGCTGTAACGGAACACATGGCCTTCTCCACGATAAGACATCCCAGGTTTTCTCGGTTACAACTTGTGGCAGGGGAGCTCCTGCCAGCTCAGCTCTTAATTAGCTCTTTCGTTCTGATCATTCTCAGAGAATTCTCAGGTTTGCTTCTGATCGTTCTCTGATCCTTTGCAATGCTGGGCCTTCCAGGGACTTCCCCCACCAGCCCTCTCCATCGGATCCCCTTTCTCAAATTTTAACCGTACAAAGTTGCCCAGCAGCAGGTCATGCCGTGAGAAGGGTTTGCAGCCATGGCAGAGGCTCATCATTAAAGCATTGCTGTTGGTGCAGACGGTCCACTGCATCTAGGGAGCCTGTAAAATAGGGTTCCAGTGTTTCTCTGCTCAAAGGCCCTAACCAGCAGGCACTGAGAACTTCATTTTTCGAGGTTCCCCAGCAGCAACAAAAGCTCCCCATGAGTGGCAGTGTTCCCTCTAAGCTGTGTGCGTGAGCGGCTGCTCATTAATACAGGAAGCCCCGCTCAGCAGCAATCTGGAGCCCCGCAGGGTCTTGCACTGCCCCACTGCCCATTTTAAGATTACAGCAGTTATATTCTGCTCAAGATGTGAACTGCTCCGCTCACGAGGAGAAAAAATTGGTGCCAAGACTTCAAATATAAGATGTACACTGCTGCTGCACCTGGACCCAACCCCTTTCTTTGCTAAAGTAAGTATTAAGAGATTCTATTTTTATAGTGGCTTCTAAATTGTGAGCCTGTGTTGGCTCGATCCTAACCCCCACCCCACCCACCCCAGCACTGTAAATCTGTTCTTTGGCCTGCTGAGCACCAAGCAACCTTAGTCTGTTCCATCCCTGTCTCCTGTGAAATATGGGTAGAGGGTATGTTTTCTTTTTCTCCCTAGAAGGAATGCAAGATGGGCTCTGAAAGGAGGGCAAAAGGGAATTATGTTTCAGGACAGAATTGGTGAACTTTCTTTTGGAATTCTAAACCCTGACCTTTTCTCTGTTTTATCCTATAAAAGAGGAACTTTGAATCTTGTTCAATGTGCCAGCTTGATCTTTTCTTGCTTGCATAAGGATGACCATCTGATTAAAACTGCATGCTCTGGTAGCCTAAAGCCTTGAGGGAATCTTTTTCTTTCCCAAACAAAGCTCAGGAAAGTGGGGAGTTATATTTGGATTTTTGAAAACTCCCCTAACAGTAGCTTTTGAGAAGGGAAGGATAAAGTCAGGGAATGATAGCACCAAGGTGAACTCATTAAAAGCCAGGCCTGAAGTTCAAGCATAATTAAGCTCGAATCGGGCTCAGCATGTAACAGCTTGGTGTTTTTCCATAACTGTTTATTATTTATTTATTTCTATTTATCATCTGCCTTTCTCTTCTTTTTTTTGGTATTTTTGGTATTTTTTAATATGTGCATGTGTGTACATGCATGCATGCGTGTGAGTGTGTGAATGTGCACCTGGAAATCATGGAGACCTCCGGTGACTGACTGTGTGTGCACCAGATACAGCTAGAATGGGAGTCCGTCTGTCCTATTTATGGGAAAGTGGAGTGATTTCAGATGCCGAATGACATTCACAGGCAAATGACAATAGCAGGTGAATATCTGAAGAAGTGAGCAGGGACACACGAAAGCTCATCCCCTGCCACATATTTCGTTAGTCTTTAAGGTGCTACTGGACCCCTGCTCTTTTCTGCTAATAGGAACAGTGTAAGAAATCAGCCTTATGATAAGACTGCATTACAAAGGTCCCGTTCACACTAGGCGATTTGGGCCGGGAGCGGGACAGTTCGGGGGCGGAGCAAACCGGTGCGATCACACCACAACATCTGGGAAGCATCCTGCTTCCGTCCCCGAACTGGCCCTTCCCCACGAAAATCCGCCCCAACTTGCAACCACCTACCTTGGTGGTTCATCGGGAAGCTGCGCGGCAAGCCGGGCGTTTGATCGCCGGCGCATCCTTGCACCGGCACAACCCCGGCCCATAGCCGAACTGCGCATGCTCTGACATGCGCAGTTCGGCCGGCTCCCAGTCAGGGCCGTGTTTTCTCCCCGGCGTTTGATCGTGCCGGGGAGAAAAGATGCCGCGGCCAGGGGATCCGTGGGATCCCGCCGCGGCATCTCAACGTTGGTGCGGCTTTTAAAAGCCGCGCCTTTAGAGGCTTTTCCCCTGCCATGTGGCAGGGGCCAAAGATAGAAAAAAAACACAACAGAATCAGCATAGGACATAAAATAAGAAATGCAAAAGACAGGTTACAGAAAGTGGAAAACAGTGCAGTAAGAATAAGAAATGCATGCAATAAGCAGAGCTAAACAAATAGCCCTTGTCCCTTTATTCAACTGACCTCTGAACAGTTCCAATTTTACTACAGTTCTATTCCCTTTCCAAAAATGCTGCTCCTGAACATAGCGAAGAAGTTCATTTAAACTCAGAACCTTGAACCCTAAGCAAGGGACCAGAAGAGGCATCAGAGCACTGGGTTTTGAGGAGGGGGGCCATTCTGATTTTGCAACAGAAGGGCTAGATTCGAGTCCAGTAGCACCTTAAAGACCAACAAGATTTCTCGGGTGCAAACTTTCAGGCGTCAAAGCTCCCCACGTCACAGTGCTGGGGTGACTCCTCCTGAGGGGCCTATCCCTCTCGGGGACATATACTGCAGATTTCTGCACTAGAGAGGGTCCTCCAAACAGTTGCGGGTGGCAGCCCCCCACCCATGCTGAAATGATTTACCCTATTGCAAAGGGAAACAGGTTGTGACTGTTGACATAAAACAGAAAGGGCATCTGTGTGCACACCGCCTCTTATCAGCATACATATCAGCTTGAGCCAACAAAGGAATCCTTTGAACCTAGCAATGTGTACACTTCAGCCTTGGCAGTTTCCAGTGCAGCAGGCAAAGATCTGCCACTAGAGCCTCCCCTTCATTGATGGGAGAAACTGAACCTTTATTTTTAATTTTACTTTAGTGTGTTTCTTTTTCAGAATAGTATATTATAATACTGAATGTAATGCAAGGAATATTGGAATGTTTTGCTGTTGTATCACTGCACCCACCTCAAAAAGGAAAGGAAAAAATGCTGTTAAGTTACATCCACACCTGAGAGGAGACGAATGGAGAATCTCAGTTTACTTCTCACAATTAAAAAAGATACCTTTACACATTTATCCCCTATTTTGACCTATTTATTGCTTTGCTGTCCTTTCCCACCTTAATTAAATCGAAACAACTGTTGACCTTATAACCTTAGCTTGTTATTTAGTTTTGTCTTTGCATATCTTAAAACATCTTCATCATGTTACATGTTAATTTGCTGTTCAGCCTCTGCCTATAAGTTTGAACTCTGACTGCCATTCCAATGTATTTGAAAATGTGTGCGTTGCACGCGAAAGCTCATACCTTGAACAAACCTTTGTTGGTCTTAAAGGTTCCACTGGACTCTAAATTTGTTCTACTGCTTCAGACCAACACGGCTGACCACCTGGAACTATGAACCTTTACTTGTCAGCCAGGGAGCCCATTCACTCTGAAGGACAACAATCACTCCACAATCAGTCTGGCATACCATCATAACCAGATGGAGACAACTGGGTACATCAACCCAACCAAATTTTATTTGAAGCAAAGTTTTAAAATTTTTAGCATTTAAAAAATTAGGATATTTTAAAAGAAAATGTCTTGTTTTTAAAAAAGCAAAGGCAGCTGAAGAGGTAAACCCAAAATTTTAATTTCTGGTGGGGTCAACAGGCCCTCAAAGGCAATTGTTTGTTTGCACCTTTCTTTTGTATCCCTTGCTCAGTCCATTGCTGTGAAAAGTATGTGTGGACTTTTTCCTTTCCTTTTCCTTTAGTTACTATATTGCTAATTTCTCAGTGTGCAAGTGTAGTAACCTGTTCCCATAGTAACAACTCACTGGGAACAGGAGATGCAAATGTTAGGTGGAACCCTTAATCGGTAACACAGAAGGGAAGCTGGGAGTGGTGGTCTTCTTGGCAGGAAATTAAGAAGTCAACCAGCTGGTGGCAGGGTACCAAGGAAGAAGCCAGACAACCCTTCTGAGAGTCGGATGAGCCTGGTGAGTGGTACAGCTATTCATACAGACATTGGGTGCCTAGAAACATTGAAGCAACAGAACCAGAATAGTGCTTGTAAGTTAGTGGGGCTGTTCCACCACACAAGCCAACTGTTCTTAGTCGGTTCACATGTGTTTAATGCTAACAACTCAAAGACAATGAAAGACTCACAGGTGTCTGGGCTTTGCAAGGAAGTTGTTAAAGGTCCCTGCCGCACGGCAGGAAAAAAAGCGGGCAAAGCGCGGCTTTTAAAAGCCACACCGAAATAGAGACGCCGAGGCGGGATCCCACAGATCCCCTGAGCCGCGGCGCCGTTGCTCCCCGGCACAATCAGATGCCGGGGAGGAAGTGATGGTCGGGAGGGGGAGGCTGCCGAACTGCGCATGTCTGAGCATGCGCAGGTCGGCCAGGAGCCGGGGATGCGCCGGCAGAAGGACGCGCTGGCGATCCCACGGCCGGCCTTGATGCGCCATTTTCCGAAGAACCACCTAGGTAGGTGGTGTAGTTTTGATGCGGGGTTTTGGGTGGAAGGGATGGATCGGCAACGGGCGTGGCACGCTTCCCAGATGTTGCTGTGGGATCGCGCCTGTTTGCTGCGCCCCCGATCCGTCCCTCTCCCGGTCCAAAACCTCTCGTGTGACCGGGGCCACCGTTTCTGCTGTTGTGATTTTCAGCAGCCCCACATAGTCAGGAAAACTCACAACAGGCCAGGTCCTGCATTTAAGACTGACCACTTTCTTCCTCCCAGGCTTCCAAGATGTCCACACCATGATCTTTGTTGGCTTTGGATTTCTGATGACCTTCCTGAAACGGTACAGCTTTAGCAGCGTGGCCTTCAATTTCCTGATAGCTGCCTTTGCCATCCAGTGGTCTATCCTCATCCAGGGTTTTTTCCATTCTTTTCACCAAGGCAAGATCTATATTGGAATCGAGAGGTGAGCGATGGTGATAAATTCTCTTGATGATTGGCCACTGTGTTATCAGGGTCAGCCTCAGTTTCAGGCAAGGACAATCCCAGAACTTGTGGGAAAAGGATGCAAGATGCTGTCATTCAACAGCACTGTCACTGACCTGAATTGTGGCCTCGGCTGATTGTGTGTGTTTGCATGTGGTGTGTATGGATACACACAGAGACAGACCGCGGCTTCGCCCGATTTCCTCCGCAATTTCGTGATCCTCAAAAACCAGGATCACGAAACTGCGGAGGAAATCAGGCGAACCTGCAAGTCAAAATGCAGCACCGCAGCTTCGGGTGTGAAATTGACATGTTTGTGTCGAGGCAAACGGCGGCCGTGCTGCGAGGCAGCTCTAGTGAGAAATTGCCCTAAATGTCACACCTAGCTGAATTCCATTTATTTTTTTGGCAGCTCTAGTGCGAAATCGCCCACAGAGAGACATAAAAGGGAGGCATTATAAATAGTAGGGCCAAAAGGCCACAAAAAGCAAGCAGTCCAGCCTGTGACATTTTTTTAATGTAAAGCTCAAACTATACAGTGCTGAAAGGTATTAAGATCAGCTGATAAGAACCTTCTGCTGGTTCTCGTCCCAAAAGATATCTGGCTGGCCTCAACCAGGGCCAGGGCCTTTTCCACCCTGGCCTCAGCCTGGTGGAACTCTCTGCCAAGTGACATCCATGCCCTGCCTGATCTATTAAAGTTTTGCAGGGCATGTAAAGCAGAGATGTTCCCCCAGGCCTTTGGTTGAGGCCAGCAACAGTTCTTCACATCTGCCTAGCATCCTCCCCCCCAACTGAATGCTAGCACTGCCATCTTGTTTTTAAAATGTTTAAATGTTTCTGAATGTTTTAGATATTGTGTTTGTATGGTTTTAACTTATTCTACGTTGTAACAAAACAATTTGTTGTGAACCGCCCTGAGTCCCATGCAAACAGGGAAGGGAGGTCAAAAAAAATCTAATTTAATAAAAGATAAATTAATAAATAATAAGATAAACAAAATATCTGTTTGTATGACCATGGCAATAACACCATCTTCCTAGTCTCACCCTGCTAATTTAATCCCCGCAGGGGGAAAGAAAGCCTTGTTCATGACTGAGTCCCAAACAAATAGAGTCTGACTTGGTACATTCAGAGCCAGTTTGGTGTAGTGGTTAAGAGTGTGGACTCTAATCTGGGAGAACCGGGTTTGATTCCCCACTCCTCCACTTGCACCTGGCTGGATGACCTTGGGCAAGCCGTAGCTCTGATAAGAGCTGTCCTTGAAAAAGAGCAGTTTCTGTCAAGAGCTCTCTCAGCCCCACCCACCTCACAGGGTGTCTGTTGTGGGGAGGGGAAGGGAAAGGAGTTTGTAAGCCGCTTTGAGACACCTTTAGGTAGTGAAGGGCGGGGCATAAATCCAATCTCCTCCTCTTCTTCCTCTTCCTCCTCTTCCTCCTCCTCTTCCTGCTCTTCCTCTTCTTCTTCCTCCTCCTCTTCTTCCTCTTCTTCTTCCTCCTCTTCCTCCTCCTCCTCTTCCTTCTTCTTCCTTCTTCCTCCTCCTCCTTGCCCCCAAATGGCACTACATTTTGGCTCAAATCAACCTTCTGAGGCACCACTTCCAGGATGCTTCCTAAATGAGCTGGGCTTTGTCAGTTTCACCTTCAGGGAGGATCCAACAGCAGGGTCCTCTCCCAGTCTCCCTTCATTGCCAGTGAGAACAATCAGGAAGTCCTGAGACTGCTGCAAGACTGAAAGCTTTCCAGAGCCAGCATTGTGCAGTTGTTAAGAGTGGCAGACTCTAATCTGGAGAACGGCATTTGATTCCCCACTCCTCCTCCACATGAAGCCTGCTGGGTGACCCTGGGCCAGTCACCGTTCTCTCAGAGCTCTCTCAGAGCTCTCTCAGCCCCACCTGCCTCACAAAGTGACTGTTGTGGGGAGAGGAAGGTGATTGTAAGCCTCTTCGGGACTCCATAGGATAGAGAACAGTGGGGTATAAAAACCAACTCTTATTCTTCTACTGTGTTCTGTAGGTTGTTGCAAGTGTGGTCCAGGTTGAGTTCCTGGCATCTCCAGTTAAAAGTATCGGGTAGGAGGTTATGTGAAAGACCTCTCCCTGAGACTCTGGAGAGCTGCTGCCAGTCAGAGTAGACAATACTGACCTTGGGTGATTTCCCACAAGCGCTGCTCCGCGCTCACTCTTCTCTTTGGCTCGATGGTACGTGTCAATTTCACACAAGCTGCTGCGCGGCTGCATTTTGACCCAGATTCGTGCGATTTTTCCCGCGTATACTCAATCATCTGTTTTTTGAGGATTGAGTAGACGCGGGGAAAATCACACGAAGCTACTGGGGCAAAATGTGGCCGCACAGCAGCTTGCGTGAAATTGACACGTACCGTCGGGGAAAAGGGGAGGAGTGAGCGTGGAGCAGCGCTTGTGGGAAATCACCCCTTCATAAACCAATGGTCTTGGTGCAGTGGTTGAGCCAGCTTGGTGTGGTGGTTAAAACTAGAGCAACGGAGTTTGATTCCCCACTCCTCCACATGAAGCCAGCTGGGTGACCTTGGGTTACTCACAGTTCTCTCAGAGCTCTTCTCTCAAGAGCAGTCCTTGAATGAGCTCTCTCATCTCCACCTACCTCACAGGGTGTCTGTTGTGGGGAGGGGGAGGGAAGGCGATTGTAAACCCCTTTGAGACTCCTTGAGGCAGAGAAAAGCAGGGTATAAAAAACAGCTCTTCTTCTTCATCTTCTGTGCTTCCTGATAGCATGATCAATGCCGATTTCTGTGCCGGAGCTATCCTCATCTCCTTTGGAGCTGTCCTTGGGAAGACCAGCCCCGTCCAGCTGCTGCTCATGGCCTGGCTGGAGGTCAATCTCTTTGCCATTAATGAACACCTCCTGCTTAATGTCCTTGGGGTACGTCATGACGGTGGAAACATTTCATTCATGACAACTTGTGTATATGTTCTGTCCTTTCTCCAAACAGCTCAAAGTGAATCCCTTCCCCCTTTATCCTCACCACAGCCGTGTAAGTTAACCCAAGAGCTCCCTCTGTCCCTGTTTCTATTTTCTGGCACCTGTCTGGGTAAATCCCTGCCTCCGTTTTGTCCCTGATTTTGCCCTGGGGGAAGGGGATGTGTGTCTTGCTAAAACATCATCACTGTGACTTGCTCCTGTTACCATTCCTCCCTCCTCTGGGTCTCTAGAAGTTAAATCTCTGAATAGGGAATGGATGCATCCTATATCTAGAGCACATGCATGTACAGGAACACTAATGCTCCATGCAGGGCACAGCCTGCCATTTCATAGATTTTGCATTAATGGACATATTTCACTGTTGATAAACATACTGTAGAAGGATTCCCACTGCATAGAGCTGTCAGGTAAGGTTTCCCAATCCTGGTTGGGAAATCCCTGGAGATTTGGGGATGGAGTCTGGGGGAGGCACGGGGACCTCAGTGGGGTGCAATGCCACAGAGTCCACCCTCCGAAGCATCCATTTTCTCCAGGGGAGCTGATCTCTGCAGTCTGGAGATGAGCTGTCATTCCAGGGGATCTCCAGGTCCCACCTGGAGACTGGCATCCCTAACTTAATGCAGCTGACAGTAGACAGGCAAGAGCTACCAGCTAAGTAGAAAGTTTGCAAGGTAATCTTTGGAGAATGAAGACTATTGGGCATTAGAAGCATGTCCCTCGTTTCACCTTGTAGGAAAGCAGAGGAATGCAAAAAGTGGGGCCAACAGGTTGTGAGACGCCACAAGTCCGCTGGTGAATTTCACAGTGGAGAAGAGGTGACTTGTTCAGACAGCAATGCACGATACCACAGCAATGCCCTATACCACCAAAAGATTTGCATCATTTCTAAAATATACCAAGCATAAATCTAGGCATCCCAGTCTAACAGATGGAGTTGGATTGGTCATTAAGGCCACCAGGAAAAGTCCCAGAAATGAGCTGATGACCTATCCCCCCAAAAAACTGGGACCACCCTGGCCAAAACCAAGGGGCAGCCCTTCACCCCATGAGAGGTGGGGGGGAGCCACCACTGCTTTGAGCTGGTAACCCCAGTCCCATGTGGGTGCTACAGCTGCAAGCCTCCCAGTCCACCCCCCACTGACAGAATTGTTATCCGAGTCCCTCCCTTTCAAACTGTGTGTTTGTTTCCTGCATCACGGTTCAGGCCAAGGATGCAGGAGGCTCCATGACCATCCACACCTTCGGGGCCTATTTTGGACTGATGACCTCCCGGGTCCTTTACCGGCCTCACCTGGACAAGAGCAAAGAACGGGAAGGATCCACATACCACTCAGATCTCTTTGCTATGATTGGTAAGAAGAACCCAAAGATTTCCAGAGCTATCAGGGCATATTTGGTGCCCGGTTTATTGTTGTTGTTGTTGTGGGTGTTGCCTTATTAAAATAATTGCATTTGGTTAATTGATCGAGCAATCACATTAATTGATTAAGAGTGCAATCCTAGCAGAGTTACAACCATTGACTTCAAAGGACTTAGAAAAATTTCACTTTGCTAACCTACTCTACTGCACTGCACTACACATACTAGTCTAGAGGCAGGGTTGCCAGTTTCCAGGTGGCAGCTGGAGATATCCTGGGATTACAACTGATCTCCAGGTGACAGAGATCAGTTCAACTGGGAAAAATGGCCCCTTTGGAAGGTGGACACGGAGGCCCCTTCCCTCCCAAATGCTCCCCTCCTCAGGCTCCATCCCCAAGCCTCGAGGTGTTTCCCAGCCCAGAGTGGGCAACCCTATCTGGAGGGACTTTTTGCCCTGATCCATCAAGGCAAGGCTCAGTGGTAGAGCCTGTTTTGCATGCAGAAAGTTTAATCCCCAGGATCTCCGGTTTAATGCATCAAGTGGCAGGTGCTGTGAAAGACCTCTGCTTGAGACATAAGAACATAAGAGACGCCAATGTTGGATCAGGCCAAAGGCCCACCCAGTCCAACACTCTGTATCCCACAGTGGCCAGAAATACCAGGTGCCATCAGGAGGTCCACCAGTGGGGCCAGGACATTAGAAGCCCTCCCACTGTTGACCTCCCCCCAAGCACCAAGAAGACAGAGCATCACTTGCCCCAGAGCCCCTAGCTATACCTTGTGGCTAATAGCCACTGATGGACCTCTGCTCCGTATGCTTATCTAAATCCCTTTTGAAGCCGTCCATGCTTGTAGCCACCACCACCTCCTGTGGCAGTGAATTCCATGTGTTAATCACTCTTTGGGTGAAGAAAGACTTCCTTTTATCCGTTCTAACCCGACCGTGAAGAACCACTGCTGAAGAAGCAATGCTAACCTTCATGGACCAATGGTCTGATTCAAGCAGATTCATGTATTCATGAGGGGCCCACCGATGTGTTTCTTGATGCCCACGTGTTTCTTCCCCACAGCTAAGGTGCAAACCTGGCTTTCCCCCACCTCACAGGAGTATATAGGGTTGCTAGTTTCCCCCTGGCCACCAGCAGGGGAAGAGCAGGTAGGGTTGTCAGTTTCAGGTTGGGAAACTCCTGGAGACGTGGGAACTGAGCCTGGGGAGGACAGGGACCTCAGGGGGGTACAAGGCCATAGAGTCCATCCTCCAGAGCAGCCATTTTCTCCCAGGGGACTGATCTTTGTAGTCTGGAAATACACTAATTCCGGGGGATCCCCAGGTCCCATCTGGAGGTTGGCATGCTGTGTTGTTTTCTACCGTCAAGTCACAGCTGACTTATGGCAACTCCATAGGGTTTTCAAGGCAAGAGACGTTTGCCATTGCCTGCCTCTGCATCACGGCCCTGGTATTCCTTAGAGATCCCTCATCCAAATACTAGCCAGGTTGTCCTTGCTTAGCTTCTGAGATATGACAAGATCAAGCTCGCCTGGGCTATACTGAAGCAGGCGGTGCTTCAGCAAAGTGTTTTCCCCCTGCAGAGGACATCCCCTTAGAAACAGCTGCCTTTGTTGAAGAGGGGAGGCTAGGCTGGACCCTCCCAATGTTTTGTGGCATCTTCAAACATTCTGATTCAGTCCCCGTTCCCCAGGGTAGCCATTTTGTGGCTGGCCAAGCTATTTTATGGTGACACCCACGAGGTGTTCTCAAAATCACTGTCCACGTAGTGTTGCCAGCTCCCAGTTTGGGGGTGGAACCAGAGGAGGGCGGGGGTTGGGGAGGGGACAGGACTTCAGTGGGGCAGAATGCCCAAAGGAGCCATTTTCTTTAGGTGAACTGATCTCTGTTGCT